AGAGATGGGTTGCCTGGACAGGCTGCTTCAGTAGCGTGGCTGTGAAATATCTGGTAAGGCACTATGCATGAATGCTGGACAGAGTAACATGTTGCTCAGGGCTGGTGCAGTGAAACACCGGAATAGACACAATATTATTAACAATGGGATTTCTTGTTGTATGCACTCATATTAAGTCTCTCTTGATATATTAGGCTATTATTTGCGCCTCATCTTCAAAACTGATGTCAGCATTGACATCTTGATGGAAAATGACATCAAAAGAAGCCTAAAGTGACTACCATGCACCAAGGAGCAGGTTGTTGTCATGTCTGAAATAATCATAACTTATACCAATGACCTTCAGTTTACAACATGTTTATTTCACAAAGACATTTAAAAATTCAAAAGCAAATTAGCAGTTGAGAAAACAGCAATCTTAGGGCTTTTAATTATTTACTATTGTGTATGTAGCAGGGAAGATATTTCATAAACAGTGTCAGCATATTATAGTAGCATGGAAAATAAACAGCGAAATGTCGTGGAATTTGTGTGCAGCTTCCAGACATTTGTTTTCAAATAGTTATTGCCTACTTCTGTTGTACTGATAGATGAGCTAGGTTGTTATGACTTCACTTGGCATATATAGGGATCTTTGCCTTGAAATGTTGCCTTACACTGACTCCTGGGATATAAGGAGACATAGGTGTAAGATGGTTGGCCTGCATAGCTCAGTATTATTTACATTGATTAGCAACAGCTCTCCAGGATTTCAGACAGGGAAGACACTCCAGTCCTATAGAGATTTGTGAAGTATCCCGCATGAAACCTCCTCCTCTATGGCCATTCTTCAACTAAAATACTAGTACTGACCTAAATAATATTTATGCATTTAAACCACACTTAAAGGTAGATGTTTCTCAAGGAGACATGCAAGACAAAAGCCACACAAATTGGATATAAAGAAAAATGAGTAAGGTATATGAAATGATGCCTTTATTGATGTCTAAGGCAGACCTTACTGATAAAGTCAGCAGACCAGACATTATGATAAGGCCAGCTAAAAGAGAGAGGGCTGCTCCATTCCCAGAGACCTGCAGAGATGAGGGCTGATGAACCCCGGATGAAAGCAGGTTCCAGAAGAGAGTCAACAGTTGCTATTTGTCACTGAGATCAAGGTTGTGAAACCTGCTAATGCCTGATCTAAAACATCAAACACCATTAAGTACTTTCTGATTAAATAGCTGTACCTAGATAGACAAACATTCAGAAGGCAGTTTCAACATTTCCCCCCTCAGTATTTGGGCTGAATACACAAATTTCACTTGTCTTGATTTCCATAATATTAAATAAATTATTATATCATGGCTTTCCTTTGTCAGTCTGAATCCCTTCACAGAGAAATAGCTAGCAGTAAATATGGGTTTAGCCCAGTATTAAAGCATGCAATATTTATTGATAGATTTAAGGAGAGAAAGGGTATGAACATAGTGAAAAAACAGTAAGGCAGAATAGTTTTCCTTTGCATTTGAATAATATCCCAAGGATGATTATTATTTCCACCTGAAGATTTCAGGCCATCCAGATTGCATGGGAAGTAAAGCCCCTTTCAGAAATACCTTATATTCTGCAAAAAGTTTGGGGAAGATTTAGACATTGCTTTTCTAAGAATCTGGAAGCAGCTTGGCACATTCGAATGCGACTTGTGAGGGATACATTCCATGTTATCATTTCTTTTCATTGCAAGAGTGACTTATACATGAACACAGTGAAAGTTAATATGGAAGCAGCGCTTCTGATGATACTTGCTACATGTGGTGTGGCAGGAGAGGCTGTGCATCACCAGATCCTTTCAATACCAGTTGCCTAGTAGCCCATATGCCTTGATATGTACCCGCATACTTTGGTTCCTTACTCTTCTTTTATACCCCTTGGAATAATTATACAAAATTATTCTTTAGGCCACCTTGAGTTCCTTGCAAGAGGAAGAATGACAAGGTGTAAATGTAATGTAATCGTCATCTTGATGGTGTCTTAGAATAATGTGCTGCCTCATACATGGATATGTGTGTGGTGCAAACTCTTCTTTAACCTCTTTTGCTCATTTTTACTTGCTCAACTTTATTATTTTTCAAATCACATAGGTGACTGGGAATACGGTTTCCTGTCAAGACTGCTTAAGTGTGCTTGATGGATGTGTGTACAATGGTGTGGAAACTTTGGGGAAGGAGCTTTTCATGTACTTTGGACATAAAGCCTTGAGGTAAGAGATGCGTACACATGTTTGTATATGTTAGAGGAATTCATGTCCTAATTTTGTGAGCTATGTTGCAAAAAGTAATTGCCCTCCTGCCCACAGGCAAGTTAATATTTTTTCATAGCAGCAATGATCAAGGCTGTGAACTTAATGAATGTTGGCATGACTTGGCATGAATTGAGTAATTAAAACAAAATATGGAGAGAGACTTCCCCTTGGAAATTTTTGCCTAGGCTGTTGCTGGATTATCCATCAGCCGGTGATATGGGCACAATAAAAATATGGCAATATAGTTAAGAGAATAAAGAAAGGGGGTTGAAACTGGGCTAAATGCAGTGAAGCACTAGGCTTCCCCAGAAGACAGGAATCTAGTTGGTAGGTGTCTAGCAGTAGGAAAACTAAACAGAACTCCTGTGTATATATCAGTAAATGCATTTCACTGCTGATGATATTAGCAGGAGAACATGGACCAGGACTTGAGCATGAAGAAAAAGCCTGAAGAGCTCCATGAGGAAGTGAAGCAAAGGGGTAGAAGCAGCTCCAGTTAATGCTTAAGATTTACCTATAATCCTATGCTGCTGACCTTTTGCAAACTCATTGATCAGGGTTCATACATTGTTCTGCTGAACTTAACATGCTGATTTCTGCTGTACTTAATATGCTGATCAGCAACTCAGGTGGGTTGTTGCCATCAGTAGCTTGCTTAGATAGCCTCCGTACTGCAGGATAGCATAGGGAGTGGCTTGTATCTTGGCATACTGGCTTTGCTCTTCATGACTTGAGGTCCCAGTAATGGAAGGACTGCCTCTTCTCATGTTTTCCCATCCAAAGCCCAGAAAATTTTTCTTACTACATTTCAATCCCACCTTTTCCTCCAAGGCAGCAGATGTTTTCTTCTTTTTAGCCTCACAACAATCCAGTGAAGTGGGTTAGGCTGAGAGTTGGTGACCTGCCCAGGGAGCCCCAGGGCCAGGTGTGCACTTGGAGTTAGATCTTCCCAGTCTCAGTCCAGCATGCTAACCACCACCCCACACTGGCTCTCACCTTCATCGTCATCAGTCCTGAACTTAGGCCCCCACATATTTCATTCATTCAGACCTTAAACAACTTGCATGCCAATTGACATAAAATCTGCACATAAAAAGTGTATTGAGATCTGGCAGGGAATTCACCAGTGGGCCTTCTTAGTGGTACCTGACAAGAAAAACCAGGGAGAGCAGGTATGCTGGGGGTGTGCAATCAAAGAAACATTTACAGTTTATTTAGACATAGAGGAAATACATGCAGCATGTAGGTAGCTCCCAGAGGAGCTACAAAGATGGAGTCGGTACAAGATGCTTTTATAAGCCATCAGTTACATCCACGTTTTGAGGGAGGATGGGGAATAATGTACACAGTATGCTTGAGGCACATCAGGGTAAAGCAATACGGATAAAGACAATACAAAATGAAGAACATTGAGGACAGGTAAATAATTAGCATATCTAAGAGTGTACCTGAGCAGGACAGGCAAGCATTCACATCTTTAAGGTGTATGTGGGAAGCTAGACTTGTAACATGTATTTATGATCAGATCAGGAATGCCATCTTAAGTCTAAAGCTGTTCTTACAGGCTTTAGCAGCCTCATTATGGCAGAACTTCTGTTCATTTTGTCCTGACATACCCCACCGTGGTGGAAGCCCTTCCTAGGTAAACCCAACTGGCATTTACTTATTGAGTTTTCAGTGTTTTCATTTAAATTGCCTTATGTTTTACTTCCAGTTGTATTATTTTGGCTATTTAGGAATATTTGCTGCATCTAATATTTATTCTCTGCCTTGCAAATTTTGTTTTATTCTGGCTTGTTTGGGTATTGTATTATGCCATTTTCTATTTTAATTTATGCACTTTCTGTTTTGTATGTATATTACCCTGGGCAGCATAGGATAGGACCCAAGTGCTAGCATAAATTATGTTGTGCTACATAAGGGATCTCGAGTTGTATTTCCCCCTTTCTGCTCTTGATTTGCTTCCTATTCTGTAGTCTGGCCAACCCTTAAGCTGGACTGTGTTGAAATCAGTGGGATTTCAGTCATGTGGGATGACTTTAAGCAGGATGAATTTGTTGGTAATTAATCTATGTTCAGTTAACTCCACATGAATCCAACCTGTTGGCTACATTTGCAGAAAAAAGGCAGAATTGTGTAGAACCCTGAGTTAGGGTTCAAAAGCAGTGTGCACTGCTGGATTGCTCTTTCTTGGCTCCTTCTGCCAATCGAACTGGTTTAACTAAGAAGTAATCAGAAGTTTAGTGTTGGGTCTGAACTGGGACACCAGGTTTGGCACTCCCTGAACAAGATAGGGACTGACTTCTGACAACATGATAACCCACACTCAAGGGCAGTGTATGGGTTGAATACGGGTTGTTTTCAAATGGTAGGTTAGTGTGTTTTCTGAACTTAGCATTATTAACATCAACCATGAAGAGAACCCATGGTTTGTTGTTCAATAGTTCACAATCATTTGTTATTTTGACTAGTTTTAGACAGCTGTATAACCCAGATTGCAACAATCCACAGTTCAATGACATCACACACTCAACCCATTATGACCCACTTGAGAGTAGGTTATTGTGTTGTCTAAACGCAGTCAGTGACTGAAGCTAAGATTCTTATGAAACTTTGATTTAAAGCCCATACCATGAAAGTGAGCATGTAAATAAGTAATATAATTATGCTATTGCCAACAGCAAGCACTTGTATATGCTTACTATTCTGACTAAGTAGCTGCTAAACTTGCAATAATTCTCAACATATTCACAGAAATGTGTTTCCTTTCTAGGATCCACTTCGGCATGAATGGTTCTTTACGTATAAATTCAGATACAAGCCAAAAGAGAAGTGGAGCACTGCTAGTCCTGGAAATACAACTTACTTCTGATTTGGTTTGTTTCTATGATGTAACCGTGGAACTTAGGTAAAGCAGCATATGGTTTCCGGGAATATTGATATTTGGTACAAAGTTTCATAAAAATGACAAGTATGCCCCTTTAAAAAAATGTTCTCCTTCTTTCTCTCTCTTGCACACACATGGGCACAATTTTCATGTCACAACAACCCACCATTTTTTAAAAGAGTGAGCTATTGTGAATTAGTAGGAAAGAACCCACAGTTAGTTGTTGGGTCATTTCTCCAACCAGAGTTCTGAATTCGCACATTACTCTAAGCATACGATGAGCAGAAGTTGGGTTGTTTAGTTGGTTCCCCTTGTGTAAGCAACTGAGTTCCTTCAGGCTTATTAACAATAACCTACATTTTTTAAAAAAATGGGTTGCAGTAATATGTGAACTGGGCCACGGACAGAAAGGGTCACCTTGCATATATTTCATTTCAGAACAATTGATTCACTCATTTACAAAACTGCAAATGTAATTGATTAATGATCAATCCACTAAAATGTCTTCAACTGGGTGACAACCCTAATCTTTTCTTATTTAAATATATATTTTATGGATTTCTATTTAACCACTCTTGCTAAAAAGTTGTCTTGGATCACAGCAAAGATCCACCTCACATTGTCCTCAGTATCCAATGACAGTGAAGTCCTGCAATGCTCATGGCATGATAGTTGGTCATAACTATGGAGAACAATAAACTGATGGCTGTTACAGGAAAAATGTCTGTGACTCTCAGAGTTATTCTTGTAGTTGTTAGAGCTTATACTGTCCTCTGTGAATGAATCTCATGTAAGTTAGTAAAGTGATATTATAGTAGTGAACATCGTTTGTGAGTTGTATGAATAAAAGCTTTTCTTCAAATCATGGGAGTCATGTCATGGGAGTCATGTCACTCGCTGTCTTTCAGTGTAATGGTAAGCTATGGTTTATTATTATAGGAATGATCCTAAGTGACCTTTGGATGCCTCTCCTGTCTCTTCTTCTGCCATTGCTGGAAAGAGGAAACTGGAAGCCTTCACTGTCATTTTTGACTAATCACGGTTGGTTGCTTCATTCCAACCAACACAAAATACAGTTATCTTTAAATCCGGGCTATTAAAAGAAGCCACACTCAAACCTGAAACTGGCTGCTTTCAGTAAAGCAAATCATATTTAAATTTAGCCACTGCTTAGGTTGTGGATGCAATGCTAATAGAGTTATTGAAAATGGAGATTAAAGCTTCCAATTTTGTGGCTGTGCTAAAAGAAGGCTCTCCTAGGTGTATGCCTGTAATGTTAAACAGTTATATCCAAATGCAGCAGTTGTGCAATCCTGAAGTCTAGCATTTTGACACAACCTAAACTCCTATTGCATGTGTTCCTGTACCCTGCCATTATTCCATAAAAAACTATTCCTTTCTAGCTTTCCTCTGTGTGAAAAATTCTTCAAGATTGATAATGTAAACTGCCATTTTGGTACCTTTTCTATAATGCCCTTTGCAAAATAAACCTCCCAATGGCAAGAGTTACTTTTCTTTAACTATGGGTTGCTTTCTCTTAGGTCAATCTGGTTTGAGCAACTTTGATGATTTTCTTCTGATTGTTTCAACCAGTATGGAAGTGTCTTAATTACATGCCATGTTGCTAACCTACTTGCAAGTCACAGTGAAATATCTTGCTTTTGCTTTTTTACCTGTGCAGGAATGCAGCTGAAAGTGAGCAGAAAATTAGAATGTTGGAGGTCCTAGATGTGTGCTCTCCAAAATTCAGTTTCTTAAGAGCAGAAACTGAGATTAAGAAGCAAAAAAGCCGTATGTTATGTGATGTGTTGCTAGATCAGGCAGTCCTACCCGGGGTGGGAAACATCATAAAGAATGAAGCACTTTTTGACAGTGGTCTCCATCCAGCTGTTAAAGTAAGTGAAATATTTTTCACTCCATTCCCTTGAATTTTGAAACTGCATGTACAGAGTTCCAGACAGAATGTATAGATATTTGTCCTATTTTCATAATTTGAATATGATCTAGACCCTGAATTTTAGGAAGTTGGCCAGGATGATTCTGCAGACAGACGATTCACGCCTCTAATAAAATGATAGGCTGGGCAGTGACCAAGACTGATTCCTTTATACAGTAAATTAGAAGCTGTAGCAGGGACTTTTCTGAACCAAGAACCAAGGCTGGCTCATAGAGAATATGGTCTTTCAAATCCCATGTTTCCAACTCATATAGATTATTTAGATTATACATGATGTTTTTAATTGTTCCTAGAACTAGACTGGTGACCTGTCAATTTGAAACATGGGAGTAAGATGCTTGCGAAAACCTTTGCAGTCCATATTCTGAACCTTCTGAAGTTTCTGAAAGCTTTTCAATGCTGCTCCATCTGGCCGTGCACATTGCAGAGGCCACAGGAGATGTAACGAACATGTGTCTCCATGGTCTGCGTGGATATTTCCAGGAATGAGCGCCGTTGCTTCACCAGCTTTAGTCGTGCACATATATTCCCGGCGCAAGTGAAACCTGGGCATTTAAGTTCAGGGTAGGGTGTAGGAGTGCATCCCAAGCTGAGAACCTGCATCTGTAGGAGGTGTGTTAGAACTGACAACAAAATGTACTCCAGTGTCTTTTTCTTCCATGTGACAGTGTTGATCAGATTGACCACTGGTGAAGATCCTTTGGTGCTGTACATGCACGATGATGTACGTGTGCAAGTAATGTAGAAAACCGTGATTCAAATCTAGTCTTAACTGACTCGCGATTTAAATCGTGATTTAAATCAAATCCACCCTGAGCTCTGCACATGTTCCTCAGTATGCATGCAGAGCCCCTTGCCATGCCAGCTGAATGTGCAGGACTCGTGCATCCGGGTCAGCTGTTTGGCTCTGTGTGAGCCTTCTTGCTTGCGCTCTCAACACAGGGAGCAGGCATGAGAATGCTCCTATAATGTGTAAGTTTCTTGTTGAATAACCTAGTTCTAGATGTATTGGCCTGGCAGTTCCATCAATTTTATCTAACAACCCGTTCCTTTGATCTTGGGAAGCTAGTGAAAAGGGGGCAGACATAGCTCAATAGTAAGCAAGATTTTTAATTAGTGCTCTGCTGAACCCCACCCCCTGCCCTTTCACAGCCTCTTCCTTTCCTTCTGAGATAAGCACTTGTTTTTCTGCTTCTTTCCTTGGGATCCTGAGAGTTTCGGATACATTTCTCAGGCGGCAGGGCTTCAGTGCGTACCTTACTTACTGTGTGGAAGTAGCTAAGGGTGTGCAAGCTATGCCTTCTACCATTTGTGCCTCTCCCTTCCATCCTGGTTGTGTCCTTGCAGGCTTTCTGGCTGAGCTTTCTGAAAAAAACCCATGAGACTTTCACCAGGTCTCCCTCTCCGGTGCTTCTGCCACTGTCAGCTGAATGCTGGAAAGCTGAGCCATGCATGTTGCTTTTTCTAAGTCTTAGGGAGCTTTCCAAGAAGCTCAAGCTGCCAGAGGGTCTAGGTCAATGGAAAATGATAGTAGTACAAGAAGGATCACCTCTCCCACCTCAGTAGCTGCACTCTGAGAAATTTATCCAAAATTCTCATCTGCTCCCTCAGTTTTCAGCTACAGTTTCATTTTGTCCCATCCCCATCAACCAAAGATCCAAAATAAAGAGATAAAAATGTGGCATGGTGCTATTTTTAATATTGAAGCACTGGAAGCTTTTATTTGGCAACTGGGACAAAAGTTAGTGGTGCTGCACATTGGCATATTTACAGTGCAATCTGATACATTCCTACTGATATGTTAGTTGCATTGCTTTCAATGGGATTTACTCTTAGAGAGATGCTAATATAGGACTGCAGCATTAAAGTGGCATTTTGTTTGCCATTACTGTCAGTGTGATATCTTAAGAAAGAGTCCTAATTATAAGCTTCCTATAAGACCGTGCACCCTTGTTTGGATAAAACCTCATTGTTGTTTTTAAATAAACCTTTGCTCCAAATTACAGGCTTGTTACTTAACAGATGAGCAAGTACATCACTTGGTGAAAATGACCCGCGATTTCACACTACTCTTTTATAAGGTAGGGGGTAAACTGTTTCCCAAGAGATCTGCAAAAACTCATTAAAATGTAAATGCTGAATATGTATATAAATATGCATATGTGTATATATAAACATTATTTGAAACATTATTTGAAACATGGGGTATATATAAACCCCATGAATTTATTGAAGAGACCTTTGTCTGTCCCTGTCTGATTTGGAATATTCTGTAGAAACCAGAAGGAAAAATGCACATGAGTCTTTTAGGTTTTATAGGACTTAAGGCTAATTTACATATTCAGAAAAAGCAGCTATGCTCTTCTTAAAGCTGAACCACTAAAGAGTGCATATGGAGAATTACATGATTAAAGATTTTTGCCCATTTTTCTCTTGGGCAATGGGCAAAAGTAGGACAATGGAGAATGTTTAAATCTTCCTTGTTTGATTCTTTTTTGCTTTCTAGTCAGAGGTAAACATGGCTTGAGACTGGGTTGCATCACTGCTTTCTAAGTCACGTGGATTATGTTTTTTTGTTCCAGTGTCGCAAGATGGGATCAGCATTATACAAGCATTACAGGGTGTACAAACAGTCCAACTGTGGTCAGTGCAGAACAAAGATCACAGTGTGTCGTTTAGGAGAGGACAACAGAATGACCTACTTCTGTCCTCAGTGTCAAAAGGACAATCCTCAGCTTGTGGACCCTGGGTAGGTCATTTACCTTAAGAACACATTTTCCAGATGATCTCAGCATTCTGAGAAGTGATCTTTAGAAAGGACCATCTTTCGCTGAATAGTCATCTTATCATTGCATGGTATATTTTTGTTTGCTTTGGCTTTTTTCCTTCCCTATCACTCTACCTTATCCATTGCTCATCAGCTGAATCAACACTGCAATCCCACACAGGTATACTCAGAAGTACTCCCAGGGAGTTCAGTGGGTCTTTACTCCCAGGTAAGCATATAGGATTTCAATATAAGGGAGTTTAATTTGCACTTTTCCAGTGCATCACTAGAACGTTGACTACTTCCATGAAAATGGCCTGTGTGGAATGAGTAAGGGCTGGATCACAATTTTTATTGAATGAGGAGTCCCTGCTGAATTAGGACCCCCTGCTGAATGGCGTGTGTGGGGAATTTTGTTCCCCAAAATCAGATGGAGGGACCATCTCCTTGCAGAGACCATCTACCCACAGGAAGGCCCTTCCTCTTGTGAAAGACAAACCCTGTAGCCAACCCTAAGAATGCAGTTGCATATGTACACATAAACCAAGGAATAATTCTGAATAAACATGCAGAGAATCTCACTGAAAGTTTGCAAACTTGCATGGACTTATTAGTGAAAAGTCCCATTGCACCCAGTGCAATTACTTTTGAATAAACATAATAGAATTACACTGTAAGTTCCCTGTGTACTTGTTATTCATTTTATTATAAAACATGTTTATAATATTCTCTCACTTGAACATCCAAAGTAGTTACTTATGCTAAAACAGTAGGTTTAAAGAACCCATTTGCTACAAGGACCAGACAGACATCTTATTTTATTTTTATGTTTCTTGTGTAAGATAATACTGGCAGCATGGCTTCATATGTTAAGCTGTGAAATGAAGATATCCCCTGAGATTACAAGCGGACAAACTTTTATTGAAAATATTATCCCTGAGATTCAAGGTAAAAAACAACCACCTCCCATCCCAGCCTTCTCCATCTTAGTGCCCACCAAACACGTTGGACTACAGTTCCCAGCATCTTCTGGTCAACATGGGTAGGAGATGCTGGGAACAGTATTCCAACACACCTGGCCACTGCCAGCTGGGGAAGGCTCTTTTATCCAGACGACTCAGGAAAGTAGAAAGAACTTTGACAAAGGGCAATGTTGAGAGCCCTGCAGCATCAGATGAAAGGACGGTCTTCTCATTCTGTTTCCTCCTCCGTCTGTCAGAAGCATCATAAGCAAGACACATGAGTAGTTGCTCTTTCCCTCAGTTGTTGGCTAGCTCCTGGTTATTCAGAAACATACTTCCCCTGGAACCTGGACAGCAATGCCATTTACATGGCAAAATCAATGTGTTGGGAGCATGTCTTGAGTGGTGTCCTGCAGAGTTTAGCATGCGGTAGACCCAGCTTTCAACTCACTCTCTTCTTTTCAGGCTAATAGAAGCTGCCAATCACAGCACAACTCTTTTCCTGCCCATGGCCGAGTTAGTACAGTCCAGCGTTGAATCTCTCATGAAACCCTGGTGGAAGTCAACATTCAGAACAAGCTTCTCAAAATGTTAACATCAATTTCCCCTTCTCTTCATTGCACAGCAAACTGCCAAGAAGAAATAGTTTAATTGGCTGGGCGTACGGCAGGGGGCCATGTTCTAAAGGACAAGTTGCTCAGGAATCGGAAGAGGGGTGGGCCTGTAGACGCTGCACTCTAGTAAACAAGCCTTCTGCCAAACTGTGTGACGCATGCTTGACTCCAAGGCCTGAAGGTAAGTAATGATGGGGCTGGTGTGAGCATGTATATGGCACTAAAATGTAATACAACTATGCAGGTAGCCTGGAACCTGGAACAAGATTTTTGTTTCCAGTCTTGCACACAACATTTAGGCAATATATATTATGTATACTGAGACACTGAACCTAAAAGTTTTCCATTGGTTTTGAATCTCAACTATGATGAATACAGTGGCACCAGTCTTCCTGTCCTGTCCTGTCCTGTCCTGTCCTGTCCTGTCCTGTCAGGAAAGATAAACATGTCTCCATTTAGGGCCATTCTCCAAGTAAATTCAGGCAGGCACTGATGCTATTTTTCCTTTTGGCATTTGCCAAAGTCTTTTCCTTTTATACAAGGAGTCCTAGACTAATGGCAGAAGTCTACCTACTGTCGTATTCATGTTTATGCTTGTCAGTGTGTGCATTTTAATTTCTTTTACACCACTCCAATACTTCTCTATGTGAAGCTGTTTATAAATTCCATACTGTATATATACATCAGCATCACGGGATGGGCTGCAGCTTCCTGATCTGGGTCATCTGTATAGTTCTCAGAGTTGCCTCTCCTTCATGCTTTTTTACCACAGTCAGATGATGATGTGGCACTGTTGGCGTACGGCCTACCACATGGTGCCTTACAGATAAACAATAAGGACCGGGCAGGTTTTTGTCCTACAGGAGACCACTATACAGGATGTAAGGTAGAGATGCCCTTCTTTCTCCAGAGCAAGATAGAAAATTAAGAGGAAATTCTTTGTTAAGTAAACTGGGATGGGGAAAGATTTTGAAATAGCCTTGAGCAGATGCATGTCTTCTTAGCATCTGAATTATAAACGCAGAAGCTTGTTGTTTTAGGGAACAACTGTTTGCACTATAATGGCATGTTCCTTTTGTAACTCAAATATATACTTTCACAGCTGTTAGCCCATCCTATGCTGCATGAATTATTCAGTTGAACTTTTGTACTTTCTGCAGATTTCAGCAACTTCCTGAATTGTCAGACCAAATGTTTCTTAAATTGAAAGGGAATATATTTGTAGGGTGGGGGGAGGGGGAGCTGTAGATACATTTCCTTTTATAGCTGGAAGGGACAAATGTCACCCTGTGCTCCACCCTGTTGGTATTTCAAAGACAATAGAAGTCTGTGTGCCTGAAAAAAGTTTAAATCCTGCAATAAAAATTGTGATTTTACAAGGACAGCATATTAGGGCTTTCAAAGCAGTAGCTTGGAAACCTCTTAGCCATTTTCTGGCTAAGAGGCGGTAAATCCCATTTTCTTAGGAATGTGGGTTTTTTATACAAAGTTGAACTGTTCTCAAGCAGCAATGCATAGCTTCTAATCTTTGAAACATTCCTCTACTCTGATAGTACTTCCTGTCTTCAGTTCCTTGACTCCCCTTCATGTTCTCCTTGTTTGTCCATTTGTTCATGCCTTTCTTCTCTTTGTATGTGTTTTCCAGTGTGCTGATCCCAGTACTTCCGAGAGCCCCATATTCCAATTTAAGAAGCAATTTTCTCTTCAGTTTCTCCTGAAAATCATGCAGGCATAATCCTTAGTCCTTGTCCGGTCTCATCTAAATTCACCTAGTCTGTCTATACTACCAACTGTAAATCCTTGTTGTCCTCCTCCTTTCTTTTGTCCTTGTAATACAGCTGTTCCCCTCCCTGTGATTGTCACTGCATGAGGCTTGTTTGCACTCAGCATGGTGATTTCAGGCCCCGAGAAAGTACCAGCCTTTTAGGGATGCACAGAACAGTTCATTCTTTCCAAATCACTGGGATCACATTCACTAAAGGCTATTGATGGTGAAATCCTCCCATCAAGACAGCTCTTTACGGTAGAGAAGCCTTTCACCATCTGGACCTTGTCCAAAGCATGGGTTGAGGAAAGACATACTGACCTAGGCCTTCAGAAGCCAGTAGACTGGTGGGTGAGGGAGACTGGTGGACCACAAGAACTACACTCAGTAAGTCTTTCTGTTGTCTGCCAAACTTGCTTTTGGCTACTTGCCTTCTGCTAAAAAGCCAGCCCCAGGAACCTTAAGACTAAGTCTGTTCAGAAAATCAGATTTGCCAATTAACTTCTCTCCTGGAATTGATGCACCCAGCTGGTCACCTAGAAGTTGAAGCAGACCCCATACAACAAAGACAGGATAGCTTTGGGCTTTAGAACAGAATAGCAATAATGCTCTTTTTCTTTCTCAGCATCTTCCATTCCAGTTGTAAAGCTTTTAAAGCATTATCAAAGGCCAATGCCTAGCATCTGGAGACTTCTTTAAAATAAGTTCAAATAAAGTATTTTCCTCCCAAAATCTATATTTGCAAAAGTAAACCAGGAGATTTTTAGGATGTTGCAAGTCAAATAATTTCCTCAATGCTGTTAATTAATACACTCTTCTTATCCTTGCAAATCTTCCTCTAGTTTTCCCTTCGCTCCTTAATTAATTAACATTTGTTACATTAAGCTTTGTCTGGGAAAAGATCACATTAATCTACATTTTCCACTGCACATATTATCAGTGTGTATTTGGGCAACATCACTGTTATGTTGCAGTGCTTAGCTGAACCCCATTACATTAGCAGGATGCACCACTTGATCCAAAGAGGCGTGCATGACCTGCATCCAAAGTTACCAATTATTATATGCGAGCTTCCTTTGGTTTGAGGCTGTTAATATATGTGATCATACTCATGTGAAGAGTGCTACAGATATAGCATAATATTGTTGGAGAAACTAGGGAAGAATAAGGAGTTAATCAGAAGATGCTAACCTTGTTGTCTCTTTCTTACTGCCTTTTTAAAGTTCAAAACATGCAGAGTAATGAAAATTTAACAGCTTCTCACAGTGACTTAATCAAGTACCCATGTAACAACTTTGGAAAACCAAGGACAGAAATTAAGATCAACAGGAAAACTGTGTTTGGGACAACAACTTTGGTACTGACAGATTTTGCTAGTGAATCCACTCCATTAAAACAGAATGGAAGTAAGAGTCTAGCTACAGATGGAAGCTCCCAGCATGAGTCTTCAAGAAATGATTGTAACAGTACTGATCACTATGCAGTAAATACACCAGTACCTGTTCCCTATCAATATAATTCTTTAATGCCAGCACAGAAGAAACGAAAGATTGATTACCCATCTTCATCTGCAGGAATCATCACTGAGAATTTAGCAAGCAGGTCTGTTATTTTCAGATTTAAATAAGATTCCTTTAAAATGTATTGAATCGAACACAGACTTGAAAGATAGTAATTAATGGGAAAGACTTTGCCAATAGGAAGCAGTTTGTTTTTAGTTCAGTATGTTTTAGCTTTGAAGTGGTTCAGTATAAAATATTGTCTATCAAATAAGTCTGTGTGTTGGCTAATGAGACAATTTTGCTTGCTGCTGGGTTGTTGTGTGCCCATGGACTGGCCTGTGGCTCAGGCAACATATTGGAACAGAAGAAATGGTTATTTGCTGCCAGGGACAAGTTGTTCACTGAAAAGTATTAAGACCACGTGACCTTGGCGGCTCAGAATACCCACTACCCATTTAGGGTAGTACCCCAGCTGCGCCTGCTCCTGGATAGCCATAGCATTTCATGAACTGCTCACCTCATGGTTAGACTACTGTCATATACCCTGTGTGGGACTGCCCTTGGACTTGATGCAGAAGCTGCAGCTAGTGCAGAATGCAGCAGTGAGGGTGTGCTTTGAGACACCTAGCGATGCTCACATCAGTTCTGTGTTAAATGAACTGCACTGGCTGCCTCTTAGCTACCAAACTACACCCAAGGCTCTGCTGATGCCATACAAATCCTTAAATAGCTTGGACATACAGCAGACCACCTTCCCTCTTATACCCAACCAACTCTTCAGATCATCAGAAGAGGCCTTGCTAGCTATTTGAAAATTACCAGAATATTCCTGTGCAACACCTGGATGGTGGGCCTTCCTGATAGGGCATCCACTGTGGAAAACCTTCCCTCATGCAGCTCAGGGGGTAGAAAATGTGGCGTCTTTCAAGTGTTTCCTGAAAGCACACTTGTTTTCTGAAATGCACGAATTACTGAATGTTCCTATTTTAAATGCTAAATTTGTGTCCAGCTATTCTCTTCTGAAGACTAACCGACTTGCTTGGCCTATGACAATGCCAGAAGGGCAACATTACCAGGTGGGATAAATTGTGTTAGAAAATGTGCAGATGAATCAGTCTGGAATGAGATTGCTGTAGCAGAGAGGGAAGCATGCTGGGATCAGCTGTGTAGCCTGTGTTGCCCTGTCCTAAGAACCATGAAGGATAAAAGAACTTCTGTAAAAGACTAATTGCAATTTAGAGGTCTTTAGAAGTTCATATAAGGAAAGTGGGACAGAAGAGTATCTGCTTGGTGTCATAACACTTGAGCTTCACAAAACTTGATAAGAAGACCCACGGAGCTTTCTGTAGAACAGGTGATCTTCACGCATGCCCACTTGTTTATTGAATCCTGCCTTTCCACCCAAAATGGTGCTCAAGGTGGCTAACAATAAAGATTAAAGCAAAACCTTTAAATGCTTCAAAACAATACATTGAAAACACTAAGACACAAGAAAAGAGATAAACAACACCCAACCCATTAAATCCTCGTTCAAAAGCAAGACCATTTTACATGTCAAAGTTCTGCCTGAATAAATTATATTTGCCTCCTGGTGGAACAACAGAGAATGAGCCAACATTTGATAAGGAGTTCTAGACTCTGGGATCAGTCACCAAGAAGGCCATTTGTCATGTCTCCAATAGTGATGAGGCCAACAGAAGAGCCTGTTTGGAAGATCTTAAAACTAGGACAAGAACGTATGGCAGGAGGAGTCTTTCAGTAGCTCCTAAGGACTTATAGATCAAAACCAGCAATTTGAATTGTGTCTGGAAACAGACCAATGAGGCTGTTGTAACAAGGGAATCATATGCTCCATGTAACTGGCCTCAGTAACCAGGGGAAGTTTTCACATTGTTTTCAAATGGAATCCCACATAGGCCATGTTGCAGTAGTCAAAATTACTCCTTTGCTGCCTCTTCCCCAGTTTGAGAGACTGGAAACAAAACAACATAAAGATACTGATTCTGGGAGATGTTACTTATATCAAATGTAGGCTACGCCTTGTCTTTCAGGCTTGGACTACAGCTGAGCTCCAGCCAGCACAGCCAGTACCCAGATATTATGGAAACTTTAGTTTAAAACATGTGGTGGGCATTAGGTTGCCTTTTCCTGGCTTAGAACTGCTAAAGCAACACTACCTAATGCTTTTTGAACTTGTACTACAACTCCCAACAAAGGTTAGCCAGTGCTAATCAGGCTAACAGGAATCAAACTAACCTTGTTTGAACATTTGCCATCAAGGAAGCAGCACCTGTATATGTTAAGGAAAGATGCTCTAAATATTACGGTAACACTAACATCAGACAAGAGTGAAGCTTCCCCACCACCTTCATAAAATGCACTTTTTGCTCCAGCAGTCAGACTTCCTCCTCTGTGGAATATGATTGGGATCATTAAAAGTGGCTTTGATCAAAAAGCATGGAAAATTGTCTCTGAAGCATACAAGTAGGTAGATATCCCAGTGGCCTGGTCTAAGATGTTCATAATAGCTTTCCAAAGGGGGAGGATATAATTGGAGTGAATTGGTCCTCTAGTACATCTTGCTGCAGCCAATTCTGGATGTCTTTTTAACTACATGAAAGCACAACGTTTATGCTAGCAGTGCTGAAATGGTGCACTTTACCCAAAAAAAGGTGGGGGGGGGGAGGCAAAGGCAATTTCTGACTTTAAATTTGCCACTTGCATTTCATTTCAATTGCCTCAATATTCAGCACTGATGTCAATTTTATTTAAAAGGAAAACAAGTAGGGCAGATTAAATAATAGGATATATATCTTTTGTCAATAGGGAAACAATATATTATTGGAATGGAAGAGTTTGTATGGAGTTTGCAGGGAGGCAGAAACAATTAATCTGATGGTTCTGCTGTAACTAATCTCTTTAACTTTATGCAGGTTTTATTTTGTAACCTGTCATTACAGAGCACCTCCAGATAATATGACAGATGGCTCTCCTACATTAAATGCTGGCAATCCTCGCTGTAGTAAACACAGCCGCTTCTGTGTTCTCCGTGTCGTGAGAAAGGACGGAGAAAACAAGGGCAGGCAATTTTACGCTTGTCCTTTACCTAGAGACACCCGATGTGACTATTTTGAAGTACGTGAGATTGTAATAAACCTTGCCAACACCCTTGAAGGGTACAAATCAGTTTCTCGAGGCACCCGATTGCTTGTGGATTTGACTCATTCTTTCTGCATAATGGAAATATGAATTATGATGATGAAAGCTTTGTCTAAAGAGATTCTCTGTGCAGTTTGGGATGAATAAGCAGCAGTTCTGGCTTCTCTGGAATAATTTTCACATGAAGCCAACTGAATCATGCCTCATGGTTTATAGCTGCCTTCCCTTGCCTGATGCCCTCCAGATGTTTTGGTCCGCAGGGCCCAGCATTCCTGGCCACTGGCCATACAGGCTGGGTTGGATGTGAGCTGATGCTGCCTTACTAGGTCAGAGCATTCAGGTGGTGTTCAGGCAGTGGAACGCTGGTCTATCCAGCCCAGCATTGTCAGCACTACCTGGCCGCAGCTCTCCAGGGCTTCAGGCAGGCACTCTTCCAGCTTTACTTGAAGATGCCAGGATGGAAGCTGGGAGCTTGTGCATGCAAAGCAGGTGCTTTGAATCCAAAACATTTGGCTGGTCACCGAGTTGAGGAAGATTGGTTTACAGCAATACGCTTCATTTATTTACTATAATACAGCAAATTAGTTGGGGTTTATCAGCACTGTGTTGCCCACTTGTACCTAAAGGAGCAATAGGGGGATTCTCCTGGTACCCAAGAAGGGTGTTTGGCGGTAGGGAGCTAGTAAAAAGCAACTATCCCTGCTGTTTAGTTGAAGAGCTGCCTATTGTAGGAGATTCCCTTCTCCTGCCAGTCATCCATGGCATTTCCAGGGACCAGCTTCCTGGAAACACCTCTGTCTTAAAGGGGAAGCAGCAGTAATTCTACTTCCTTGGGGTCTTGATTGTCTGTAGCTGCTTGCTGGACAGACTGTCTACCCATGTATCCATTCTTCAGTTCTTCCTCTGACCCTGTGTCATTAATAACTCCAGGGAAGACAGAGGCGACGTGAGTGTCGCTTTCCCAGCACAGAGATCAAATAACAGGAAAGCCTGTAGCTTTTGTAATTCTGCCTGCTTTATTAAATGGCAACTGCAAAGCCTCCTCACAAGTCCCTTCCATGTGTAGTGCAAATGTGCAAAAGGGCTCTTCACACGGTCTAGAACCCCTTGTGACTAGGATTCTAGACTGCTTGCTCCTTTGCATTTTTATTCTGAGCTCAGCCTTGCCAATGGTCTCTGCTATACCATACAGTAACTAATTCAACAGTGTCATTTTGCCCTTCGGATCCTGCAAGAGAAAAGATGTTCAGGTTTCGGGAAGTAAGATCTATTGCCTTGGAGCTATCAGAACTTTAGTTGGATAAATTAAACTGTGTTGTCTCCAAAGTCAGATAAGACTCTTAAAATGTGTCCTCCAACAAAGTCAAACCAGTGGAGTTCAGGTAGTGGAACAAACTGTATTTTCAAGAAAGTAGTTTAGCTGGATTATTATTGGTTGCCACCTACCTGGCAGCATTAAAGGAGAGTTTCTTACCACCAGTCTAAAAGAGGAATTTGGCTACAGCATCTGGTGTTAAAGGGAAATGATTTCTCTCTACAGTGGGCAGACCTGCAGTTTCCTTTCTGCAATCATGGGAAGCGCTGCATCATGAGGACGGTGTTGAAGATTGGCCCTAATAATGGAAAGAATTTCTTTGTGTGCCCTCTTGGGAAGGATAAACAGTGTGACTTCTTCCAGTGGGCAGAAAATGGTTTAGGAATGAAGATTATCCCACGATGCTGAGCTATTCATCTCCAATACACCAAGTGACGTTAATCTTCTCAAACTGTGTATTCTATGCTGCTCTTCTCTGAGAGATATTTTAGGAGGGTTATGATCAAGTGGTATCTTGTGATTACAAAGCCATCTAGATTATATATTTGAGCATTCCTTCTTTTGTCCCTCCTAACTGCTTCTGCCATTGTTATGCTTTATCTCAGACAAGAAACTCTCTGATGGCAGAATTAACTAGTCTGAATAATGTACAGTCATTTTTTTTCTCGTCTTGGTTTTTCCATCCTCCCCCAAAACAGAAATCTTTAGAAACAATTTGGCAGAGTGGGGAGCAGAGAACTATCTGATTTGGTTGTGTTGTACAATGTACCACCGTCTCTCAATTAAAAGATATAACTTGGTGTTTACCTATGTAATTTATCCTTCAGGATTTTTTTTGGTCTAAGATGTATTTTCTATGTAAGTTTTATTGTATTGCATTTAAGATAAAAGATTTTCATACATTTTGCAATGGGTTATGAAAGATTAATATATTCAATAAATGCTTCAAGCAATGATGATCCTTTGTTTGTTCTTAAGGATAGCTCTGTATGGACATCATGTCAGAGGAGAAAAGAAACAGTTTATAAATACTCATTGTATCATCTGTGATAGATTTGTCGGTGCTCATGTTGCAATGGTTATTCAGGTTTGATTTGATTTTGTATTTCCCTGCATTGGAATCTGCACTAAGAAGGAATGTTGCTCATTTGGAAATAAATGGGATGCCAAAAGTGCCTTGGTGAGATCCCATCAGCCTAGTCTTAGTAGAATTAGGCATATGTAATAAGATTATTTATTTCAGGGTGGTTAGATGCATTTAACTCTACATAGGATCAGGCTGCTTGTCTTTTAAGGTGAGCTGCCTATTTAGACTGAGGTACCTGAGTTTACTTGTCCTATTAGATCCAAGTACGCTGACAAACCTGTGTTGTAAGGTGGGCCAAAATTATGTTCTCCATAATTTGCTAGTGACCTTCATAAGTGCATTACAGGATTTGAGTTGGATCCAGAATTAGTTGCACTTGGAATAACACCACTGAAATTGATAGCTTTTGACTTGATAATTTCCATGCATTTACTGTAAGTATGGATGCAATGCTGAGGCTCCTGTTGAACCCTTACAAAGTAGCAAGTCATAATGAACTTAGCAGAAAATGTCTGACTTGGCATGCATAATATTTAACTCTTAGAACCTTACAAATGCAATTTCAATGCTGCAGTTCTAGATTGTGCAAGTTCATTCTGTACTGATTTTCTGCAGCTGCTCAGTGAAGGAGGTAATGCTCTCAGTACTGCTATTCCTGTAGATTCTTTTGATCTACTTTCCTAGTGTACATTTTCCCCCGGTCTGTTTGGATGAGTTCCTACCACCACAACTTAATTTGTCTGGTCACCTCTCCTATTAAGGCCAGTGACAATGCTGATGTTGCAACCCAGATTACTCAGAGTGATCCCCAGTGAGTTAAATGCATCTTAGTATTAGTTAAGGGTGCTTTACGTGGGGCTGCACTTGAAAATGGTCCAGCAACATCAGGTGGTACAAAATAGCCTGCTTTAAGGTGCTCATATTGATGCTTGAAGAGGCTTAGGGCCTACATATCTAAAGGAATGCCTCCTGTATACCTACCTGGATCCTTTTTCATCTATGAAGATCCTTCTTCATGAGCCACCTTTAAAGAAAGTAAGGAAGGTGGCTGCAAGGGAAAGGGTCTTCTCAGCTGTGGTACCCTGGATATGGAACCAGCTTCCCAGGGAGGTGCAGTTGGTGCCAACCTTCTATATACGTTGGCACCAGGTTAAAACCCTTTTCTTCTCCCATCATTTTAATTGTTGATCAGGAGGTTTTGATTTTATATTTGTTTTTATTCAGATGATGATTCGCTTGCTGTGGAAAACTTGTTTATTGTATTGTATATTATTATTATTTACCTAGTATTGTTTTATTATACTCAAACTTTTATGATTATTGTGAATATGTTAATGGTATTATCTTTTATGCTGTTTTAAATGATTGTACACCATTCTGAGAGTGTTTGTTAAAGAACAGTTTATTTTATTATTTATTTATTTAGGGAGCTTCTATGCCGCCCCATTCGCTGAAGCCTCGGTGCAGCTCACAACAAAGCTTTAGAAAAGCTTTAAGGAAGGAAGGAAGGAAGGAAGGAAGGAAGGAAGGAAGGAAGGAAGGAAGGAATTGTGAATATCATTGCTTCAGCTGTTTTAATTCCAGTGAAGTACTTTTTATTATTGAATTTTCTAAGTCCATTTTGAAGCATTTACCATCCTTAGTTGTATAACCTAAGATGTAGCCTCTTATGACAAATTTTATAAATGCATGGTAAACTTACAGATCTTTAAATAGATATCCTGGACCAGATAGAGAGAGAAGTTGTAAAAAACACCTGAGTAATCCTGTGTGGAAGCATTTCCTGCCTCCTGTGAAAGAGAACGTGCTACTTTCTAAATTATCCTCCGGCAACCTGGGACCTTCCAGGTATGTGGGGCTACAATTCCCAGCATCCCTTGCCATGAAAGGCAGTCACACTGCTGGCAGGAGGAACAGTGCTAAGCGGACACTGCATTCTGCAAATCACAGCCAGCCCCCCTCCCCACCCTCTGCAGCCCACTTTGTTCTTGACCTTCTAGGGTTATCTGAGGTCACTTGGAAAGCTGGTGCAGTGGATTTTGCATGGCAGCTGTAAGCGGGTATAGAGAGAGGGAGAGACTGGACTGTGGTTCCCCTTCCTGATGACATAGCAGTGTTTCACAGGTTCAGGAGAGGAAATCCAAAAAATCCCATACCTATGCTCTCCCAGAGACTGTAGAATTGTGCTCTAGCTGAGCTTACACATAAGTCTAGAATTGTGAAATTTCATCATTTTCATCAAATGCAGACTGAACAAAATTTTCACTCTAATTTTAGCACAGTAATACTATCCATGTATTATTAAGTATGCTCAGTGCAGGAAATACATACTCTGCATGTGATTTTAATATGTGATTTTAATATTTATATGAAAACAGATTTTTCTTAATACTAACCAATTTAGAAATAGTACAAAAACATATGTCTTAAACTGGTGTTGAAGAACTTGCAGTAAAAATCTGCTGCAGATTATTTGAAATATTTGATGCTGATATAAGATAAACTTTGTAGAATGCTGCTTTGTGTGACTACAGAAATTTCACTGGTAAATTTTTTTCTATAACTTGCTACCTGTTGTATTACTGCATCATACAGATAGTAAGGATTAGATGTTAGGGGTGAAGAGATGGCAATCCAAATTACAAGTGTTATGAAACAAAATGCACAGAATTCTCTCTGAAACCAATTATGCCTATGGCTCTAGATTGATAGTGCTTGGGGATATATGCAAGAAAAACAACATGCTATGGATGCCAAAAGCAGAAATTCAGAGGAAACAAAGTGAGAGCTATAATTTGCCATCAGTATCTCATGGGTAGTTTTATTTTAGCATATTTCCTTCCCCTACCGCCATTTTAAATGTGCTTATTTAAAGTGGATGGGCATTCATTATTGAAAACATGTCCATACCAGAAAAAGAACTCCTTCCTTTTACCAGGGAGAGTGATCTAATGCCCATTTAAGGCCACTGTTTAATTCCAATGTGTAGTTCTTTCATTTCTACTGATGTTTGTGAAAAGCAATAAAGTATATAGCATAGGATAATTTAAGAATTTAAAGAACAAGATTCTCTATGCATATTTGCTTCTTCTAATAATTCTGTTTTCAAAGACCTGCATTTTGAATATTACTGAAAACTAAGACTTTAATCTTACATGGAGTTACCTGGGATTAAAGGTAAAAAATTGGACTGATTTCTGAATTGAGAGGTCTAGGGTTGCTCTGTACATTTCCAGAATTGTAAATAGAAATTGTAAACCTTTACGAAGATTTTGACTCACTTTTGACACAGAAGACACAAACACCACTTGGGGTATCTCATTTTTCTGTTACTTTTCTGATGACAGGAAACAAAGAGTGTAGCACATAGTAACTGGAATACAGGAGCTTGGATTTAACATCAAGTGGAGATACTTCTATGGAGAACTTCCATGAATATCAGAAATGGTTATGCATTAAAATAGCTTGGGCTGGATCCAGGACTGACCTTATAGAAGGAACATCTTATCTAATCATGGACGATCATCACTACTGTGAAGTTCACTGCCTTAGCAGGGTCTCCTGGCTCACTGGCATTTTTAAGGAGCTGAAGCACTGCTGTGGGGAGGAAGAGTGGGGGAGTCTTCATCTATCAGGTGCAGCTTATCCAGTGTAAATCGGGATTCACCCTGTTGTCAACAGTTTTCCATGGTAGCCCATACAACTTATGGCAGAAGTTTTTGGTTGGTTTGTAGCATACTAGAAGTCTCCTGAGAAATGTTACAGCTGTTATAAGCTCACCGTGAAAGGAATGGAAGGGAATAAACACTGAACAAATGAAAGCTTTGGTGCATATGTAAGCCCATATAAGGCAAATCAAAGACAATAAACTTGTTGAAGGATTTACATCAATCTGAAGATGGGTAGAAACAGAAGATCAATACCCACTTCCTATTTAGATTCTTCCTGCAGTGAGTTGGTAGGTGGAAAGGAAAGGACAGATTGTGGTAAGGTAATAAAGGTGTGATAGAAACAGGGAAATGCATTGAACAAGGCAAGGGTTAAGAAGCATTTGGCTTGAACTGTGCCGGACTTTAGTGGAAAGCAACTAAGTCTGCAGCTATCTGAGTAACAGGCTGAATGTGTCATTCCTTGATATAGCAATCTATGCAATTGTATAAGGTTTATAATTGAATGGTATGTTTGAAACACACAATAGACTTCTTGTGCTGGAAGAAAAAGGAAGCATCCCTACTCTTCTCTGTAAATAAACCCAAGGATCCAGCTACATTTGCAACTGTTATCTGTTCAGTTCTTTGTGTAAAAGGGAGATGGGCAGCTG